GGAATGATCGTCTCATCAAAACTTGAAACTGGCTTTGAGGCCTGTAAGTTCTGAAAGGTAGTCCCTAGGGTAAGATTGCTAGTCTCTTTACCAGGGCTACCTGATTGCTTTGGGGAGGTGTCCCCTGTAACCTGTTTCCCTGTTGGGGAGCTACACAGCTGTAGTGGCATTCAGCCCAGATTCTTTTCTATGCATGGCCCATCTTTTCTCTGCACTTTCCAGGTGTCTATCACCTCTTTTGTGAATTTCTGAATCAGTCTCTCTGTCTCTGTTTCCCTCTCTGAATATCTCTGTCTCTCTTTGTCTCTATCTTCCTCTCTGTCTCTGTCTCTCTGTCTGTCTCTCTCTCATATGTGTATGTGCGTATGCATTTACATGCACATGAATGTGTAACAGAGACTATTTTTTCTATTCTGAACCTCCTCCTCTACCTGAACTGAAGGCCGCCTCTACTCTCAGGCTTATCCAGAATTGCTAACTGAAATGTTAATCTTACTAAGGAAACCTCACATGCTGGGACCCTGTGATGAGTGGTTGAAATTCCATCTAAGTAATTATTGGCTCCACATCTAAGTAACTGTAGTCTAATAAAGTTGACACATAAAATTAATCAAGCCTCATGTGACTTGAGCGATGAGTCTTGGGAAATAATCTGTAGTTAAGAATAAAATGCTGTGCGTGGTGGAGCAGATCTGTGATCCTAGCACTAGGGAGGTAGAGGCAGGAAGATCACTGTAAGTCTAAGGCTAGCCAGGACTGCAGGGCTACAGGGCTACCCAGTGAGACCCTGTCTGGAAAAGAAAAAAAGTAGAGTACAAGCCATGTACAGTGGCTCAAACCACTTTGGGAAGCCAAGGCAGAAGGATTCCTATGAGTCTGAAGGCATCCTAGGCTAAAGAGTGAGTTCCAGCCAGCCCAGGATACAGGGAGAGACCGTGTATTTAAAAGGATGAGATGGAGATTCAGTGGCTGTTAAAACCACTTTGGAGCAGGGAAGAAGAGGAGAAATAAATGAATGCTCCCTTTCATCTCTGCACTCCTTTTCCCACCTCCTGGCCCTGCTTGTCACCCACCTAACAGCCAAAGTTTAATTGACATGGATGCAAAGTGGTGTCTTCACTGGACCAAGAAGGGGTTAACTTCCTAGGGCTTGAACAGGTGTGCAAAGAGAAAAAATGTGCTGGCAAAGGGATAATGAAGACATCATATGGCAATGCCCAAAATACTTAGGAAGTACTTCGGAAGTGAAACCCTTGGGAAAATCTGTCACTTGGGGCCATTGAAGATGAGGATGGGTAAGGTCATTTCAGTCTTAGCATTTAACACCATTAAGCATTGCCCCACCTCCTAAAGATTTGGAACATGTTGGTTGCATGTAGATTCCTTGTTAAAGATAAAAAAAATTCTGAAGATTACATATATCCTCTTACAGTTCAGTGGTGCATGAGCATGGTAGATGTTGCCGAAGTATTTGCTGGAGAACCATTTCACTCTCTTTCCTTTGAACCTAGTAGGAATGAATAAAACGCAATACAAAACAAGAAATGTCTCCTAGGGGTCAAGTGGAATCGTACAAGGAGATTTTTAGCATAGCAGGTAAAGAATGTTACTAAAATCTTATTCATTCAGAAGATGTCTGTGGAGGTCTACATTTTGACACTGAGATAAGAGACTCTTAAGATGGAAATTATCTTTTGATAATTTTTCTAGGGAAACATCTATTATGCATAGGAAGCATGAACTCCTGATCTCCCTCCTTTTACCTCCCAAGTGCTGGGATTATAGGTGTGTGCCACCATGTCCAACCTATAAAGGTCTGAATCAGATCATTCGTGTGTTTCTATTACCCATTACTCACTTCGTGAAGGGTATCCCCCACTGATGTCCAACATACTTCTTGGTGAAATGTGGGCTTTCAGGTTATGCAGCCAGTGAGGTTGAGTGCTGCACCTCACTCTCAGAACTACTGAACACAGGGCCCAATGGGAAGGAATACTTGAAATGGAAGCATCCAAAAAAGCAGCAAACCACAGAGCAGTTAGACTTTTCTTCAGCAGTGTTGCATACCTGCATACCTTTAGTGGAAACACATTTCACATCTGCAGACAATGGCCCCGCCCTCCCAATGCCTTCTGCTGGCGTTTTCTTCTGTATCTGCCTCTCCCTCCATCATCAAATTGGCCATTGACTTGAGTTGAATTTTTTTCTTTTTTAGAACAAACACAACAGCCTTGTCTTTCAACTTTTCTAGAACCCCATGTTGCCTACTCTACAATGCAAGGAAAAGTGGATCTAGGCCCCTGCTGTTTTTGTCAAATGCCAGTTCTTTTATGTTGCTCCATTATAAATGTTGCTTATACATTTTGAGTTAAAACTGTGAAATATCCATTCTTGCCCTGACATTTTCCATTCTCTTACCAGATTTAAGATGTGAATAATCTTCAGTGTGACCTTGGTTATGAGATTATTTTTCAAAGCCAGGGTAAAAGGCAAGTGTATGATTTCCTCACAGAGGCTCTGCCAGTAACTGAACACCCCATGTACTTTTTAACATCAGCTTTATTTGATCTCAGAATTGTAACAAGATGAAATACATATTTTCCAAAACTAAACTTTATGTCCTGTCCATCATGGACTCTGAGATATATTAGGGTCACTCAACCAATGTCAACCAGAGATTTGTCTGAGTTGAGTCAATATGGATAGGAAATTTGTTGATTTTGAATATATGATCACTAGCAATATTTTAAAATTAATTTGCTAATCTCATTAAATGAATTTCTTCTTTAGAAATTAAAATGATAGTGATACAAGTTTTCCCTGCTTTTAAGATTTACTGTCTTGAATAGCATTTGTTTTGTTTTATAGACACGTATTCATAAATTGGCAGATTATAAGCTTTTGAATTGGCAAATATATTTATTACCCCATGACCAGCCTTCATATAGTAAATAACATTTGATAAACACTTCATAAAAATTTGTGGAATTGAATTGAATACCCTTTGAAATGATGTTAATAGACTAAAAACATGGAATAAAAGATAAATTTGGAAAAGTAAAGGTGGAAAGTAAATTTGAGCAAACCTCTCAAAGAGAATCATAAAGAACATAAATACTAAATAAAGAGAAAAATTACATTTAAAGAGACTGAAAACATTCCAGTAATGAAGGGGGAAAAAAAAGAAATGGGATGTATTGCCACTCAAATTGTACAAGAAAAACATTAAATACCAAAGAACATGCATTTGTAGGTTAAAATGACCCATGCGGGGGGAGACACACATCAAATCAAATTACTTTGAAATCTCAGAACTTAGAGAGTAAACTTCTAGATAGAAGAGGATGCCAAAGGCTGATGATGTCTGTACTCACATGGAGCTGGATTTTAAAGGCAAAATCTAAAGCTAGAATACAACAGGATGATACCTAACAGGTCTAAGGGAAGGTTGGTTTAGTCTAGAATTTCAGAGAATGAAGCTATTACTGATAAAGTTGCAAAAGAAATAAAGACATTTGGGATATATAAATTCTCAAATTCTACTTTTGAGTGTTTTCTATAAAAGCGCTGTAAGATGCGCTCGCTCCATGTAAGAAAGTAAACCAGTGTAGAGGAGTTCGGTCATCCAGGCCAGGACTGCAGTGGCTCCAGGCCAGAAAGGTCAACACCGAAGAGTTTATGATGCCAGTGTCACGGTGTAGAGAGACAATCCCAGATGGAAGCTGCACAATAGGCTTACTGGAAGTTCAGATCCAATCCAGAAGAAAGGAGTTTCAAGAGCAATAACTCCAAAAAAACCAATGGATTGGTTACAATTCCCCAGTTTATTCATGCAAAGAACATTTATTTTACATGTTATATATGAGTGCTAAGGGGTAAAACAAGGTGTTTAATAAGAGCATGAAAATAACAGGGCAGTATTATGAAATATATTATATAAAATTCTCAAAAAATAAAATCAATTAAAAAAGAAATCAAGGCAACTGTAAACTTTAACAGAAACAAAGAGTTGTTCCAAAGAATGTGTCAGTTCTGTATCTCAATTTGAGCAATTTTAACACAATCTTGTGCCTGTTTCCTACTTTTAGTATTGTAGCAAAATATCAGAGACTGAGTAATTTATCACAATTAACCCCAAGGCTCTAAATAATGGGGGAGTCCAAAGTTGAGGTCTTAACTCTGGTAAGAACACCCTTCCTGCAAGGAGTCTGCAAAGGCAGACCGGCTTTTACTACAGACCTGATTTCGTGATAATCAATACCCATGAAATTATTTATTTAAGAAGACAAAGATGATGACCTCATCTTTTAAAGTCTCCAACTGGTCTCATCTTTAGTATTTCACAACGAGAATGAAATATCATAATATCAAAGCACAAATACTGGAAGATGGCAGAGGAGGCAGCATTGTGCATATGTGTCTGTAAGACAAAGGTGTAAGAGAGCCGGCTGTTATCTTCACAGGAGAAAGGCCAGAAGAGTTAAACAAAAATCATGAAAAGCATCGTGAACCTATCCCTTAAAAGTACTCTGGTAAAACCAAGACATGTGGAAGCACTCATTTACCCAGGTGGGCAGAACTCTCAGGAGGGTAGCTGTGGAGTTGGTCTAAAATGAAAAGTAAATACAAAATCACAACCTGGGTCCTTCAGATTCATGCATCTATTTTTGCATAATGTATATTTTGTTTGAACAAGTCAGCAGAGTGTGCCACCTAACAACGAATATTTGAAACTCATGTTTGAATTATGTCAACAGACCAATCTCAAAACTTATCATTTGCTACTTTTCATATTTGTTTTAAAAATAATTCAGAATGTTTAAACACTAAAAGTTATATGAAACATTAACTTAAAATATACAAACCATATTAAGTATTATTTGGGAACATAACATTGTCAATTAAAATACAAAAGTGAAGTTAAATTTAACATTCCTTTGTGCTCTGGATACCCACAGAAGGACAAATTATTACTACTTTTTTTTTTTTTTTTTTGGTTTTTCAAGACAGGGTTTCTCTGTGTAGCTTTGAACCTTTCCTGGAACTCACTTGGTAGTCCAGGCTGGCCTCGAACTCACAGAGATCCACCTGGCTCTGCTTCCCGAGTGCTGGGATTAAAGGCATGTGCCACCACCGCCTGGCTTATTACTACTTTTTAACTTGGGGGGAAAAGAAGAACAAAAATTATGGTAGGGAGTTAAACTTTTCTTGGCATTATGTTCCCACAAGTATTTAAGATTTATATTATTATAAAAGAAACACTTATCTCCTGTATTCTAAATGAACTCAGAGATCCAAGCTAATCCTTTTAAACCTTTTTTAGCGTTTCCTCGGCATTCCACTCACGCCATCACTGCCTTAGTCCAAGGTCTTGTCATCCTTTCCTAATTAAGGATTTACTAATTTTTAGATGTATTTGCATACACTTGCATTAGATTTTGTGTACTATGCATGTGCAGGTGACCAAGGAAGCCAGAGCGTGTTGGATCCCCTGAAGAATCAGATCCAGGTGATTGTGATCCACCCAACCTGGGTGCTGGGAACCAAACCTGGGTCCTCTGCAAGAGCAGTCAATGCTCTTAACTACTGAATCATTTTCCAGCAACAGGTCTTGTTAGGTTTAACCTAGGTTAATTTTAGATTGATCAATGACCTACAAATTTCATTTTATTTATCTACTCGGGAAATAATTCAACACACTGAAAATCAACGAGAAGATTGGTACAATTCTCAATGAAGACCACAAGAAGGCAAAAATGCAGAGACACAGGGAAAAAAGCTTAACAGCAAAGCACACTTCAGCTCTAGAGTCACTGCAGATCTACAACAAACTGTCATGAGCTTTGCTTTATGGAAGCTCCACACACAATCACCACAGACATAAAATGAATTCTGGAGTGAGGTGATGTGTGTTGGGTGCAGGATAAGTGAAGCTTGAGCGTCAGCATCCTTGTGTTCCTTCAAGTGTGCTAATTATGCAACGTCTAACCTTTGTGTACAGCAAGGTCTTGATGTGATTTCTAGGGAAATAATTAAAACCATTGGAAGTAATCTAGTAAAAAGGAATATTAAAGTGGAGGAGTTGATCAATCAAAATGTAATAAGGGGGGAGAAAATAAAACGTGGAAGAATTGAGACCAATAGGAAGGACATAATGCAAACATAAACTTCAATCCAAGCTTAAGTCCATGAGTATTAACTGTAAATGCCAATGGCCTAAAGCTTCACAGAAAGAAAAAAAATTGTTAAGAAACATAATGCATAAAGATGTCAAAAATCAGAGTGAAAAGGGGCATTGAATAAAGAATGATGATGATGGACAAGTCTTGGTCAGTCAGTAAGAAAAAAAGTGTTGTATGTTTAGGAAGGGGGAAGAAGCTGGTATTTGTTCACAATGTTGTAATTAATGTTATATGCAAAAAGGCCTGTGGATAATGACTGGAGTTATAAACTAGATTAAGAAAAGCAACTGTATTTAGCTACACAGGCTATGAATAAATAATGAAAATTTTAAAAACACTACTCATTATGATGTCAGGAGGATGTTATATTTAGATTTACAAATGTGATTTTAAAAAATGTGGAAATTTTAAAAATATTATTCTTAAATAAGAGTTTTTAAATCTGAAATTTTTACAATGTACACAGATGATAGAGTTATATATTATAAAATGTCAATTTCCAAGGCCAGAGAGATGGCTCAATGGTTAAAAACAGGTACTGCTCTTGCAGAGGACCTGGGTTCAGTTTCTAGCACCATGTCAGGCTGATACTAATCACCTGTAACCTCAGATCTAGGAGGATCTGTGGCATCTACACTCATGTGATAAAACACACACACAAAAAAAACAACATTAAAATAAATCTTAGGAAATGTCAGTTTCCTTCATAATCCAGAAAGCAACACAATGCCAGCTAAAAATCTGAAGCTTGGGCTGGCAAAGTGGAAGCAGTGACCTCTGCACAGGTCTTACCACGTGAAGTTGATACCCAGAGTCCACATAAATGAAAGGAGAGAAGTGCCTCTACAAAGTTGCTCTCTGAATTCCACACACGCGGTGGCATGTATACACCCACTCTTCTGGCTAATTTTGTATCAGCTTGGCACAAACTGGAGTTATCTGAAAGAAGAAAACCTCAATTGAGAAAATGCCTCCATAAGATCAGGTTGTAAGGCATTTTCTTAGTTAATGACTGATGCAGGAGGGCCCAGCCCATTGAAGGTGGTGCTATACCTGGGCTGGTGGTTCTAGGTTCTATAAGAAAGCAGGCTGAGCAAGCCACGAGGAGCAAGCCAGTAAGCAGCATCCCTCCATGTCCTCTGCATCAGCTCCTGCCTCCAAGTTCCAACCCTTCTTGAGTTCCTGCCCTGACTTCCTTCAGTGATGGACTACAATGTGGAAGGGTAAGCCAAATAAACCCTTTCCTCCCCAACCTGCTTTTAGTCATAGTGTTTTACCAGAGCAATAGTAACCTAACTAAGATATCCACAATATACACAGATGTTCATCATCATCATCACCATCATCATCATCATCATCATCATCACATTTTTATAAGTTTGGATTTTTCCTACTCTCTCCCACTATCTTTTTCAGAGAAATAAAAATCAGCTAACTCTATATAGACATGACAGAGATCAAGAATAATGAAAGTCTTTTGGAGAATAAAATATTGAGAATCCTGTCTCTATCAAGTATCTTACTGTAAGAAACTATTAAACAAGCCCTGTGGTACTATGCTAGACCGATAGATCAAATACAGAAATAGAAACAACAATAAATATAAGGACATTCAAGCTGTTAGAAATGGCTGGGGGGTGTGGGGCTGTGAAGAAGGAAGATCATCTCAAAAAAGGTCCTGAAATCCTGCTAAATTATACAGAATTGAGCCATATTTTACAGTTTGCATGGAAATCAACAGCAGGTGAGTCTTAGATCTAAAAAGAGAAGGTAAGTGACACAGAAAGCCGTTTGGAGAGCTCAGCTCACGTTTTTATGTAACGGATCAAGTAAAATACGCCTGAATACACTTACCTCTGGCCATTGATTTTTGTTAGTTGTGGCTACTGTACAATTCAAAATGGCATATGTGGATTGCATCATTTTTAAAAGTGAATTTCTTGTTCTTTGAGAACAGGAATTATATAACCTATTTCTTTGTGGTTAACACAATGTTAGGTGTATAGTGGGTGATACAGATTATCTATTTCATAGAGCAAACAAGACAATGACTATTAAAATTACTATTGGTCAGGATTCTACATCACTCAAAACAAGAGGTCTGAAGTTTATTTCTCACTAAAAAAAGTTCAGAGATAAGAAAATTGAGGACTACTGAGTGACTCCCTAACTTTTGGGAGGAACCAAGGCCCTCCTAGCTTTCTATATTTCACTTCTGGTTTTTAAATATGATTATCACATATTTAATTACAAGAGATGTCAACACAGCCCACAGGTGAGTATGCATTTATTTCTATTGTAAGTCATCTCTGCACCAGAGCTTCTGTGAGAGGCTCGTACAGCTACCTTGTTTTTGAAATATTTACATTTAAGCAAAAAACATTTAACTTAGGTACTTAAAGGAATGAGGAGTTAGTTTGTATTATAATTTCTCCTTCAAATATCAGATGTTGTAAGTTAGCATTTGCCAAGCGCTCGGTGCTCGGCGGGAGGCAGGGTGGCAGTCTCCGAGGAGTGCCTGAGACGCCTATATTTTTGTGTTGTTGATTAAAGAGAGCGCCATATGCTTGCGATAACAGGTGTGCAGGTGGCAAAGCCGACGTTCTGTTGTACAAATTTAGTATCCTGCCTTGTATGCAAGCCCAGAGAGGGCCATTCTATCTGTGCACAGCAGTCAATAACTGAGTATGTATACAAAGCCAGATTTTACTTTAAGAAAAAAGAAAGAAACGGAAAAATAAAAAACAACTAACTTTGAGTCACTTCAACCCTTTCATGAAGAAACTGGTTCAAAACCTAGCCACAAGAATTTGTGAGGGTTTTAGAACAATTTGACACATCCTATCATAAAACAACCTAAGGGTAGCCTAAGTTGAAGAATGATTTTTATAAAAGGAATGTTCCCAATGAATAAGCTGCAAAACATACTTGAAGATTTAGAACAAGCCAGTCTGAGTCTAAAGATTTGCTTGAGCCTACCTGTTGTGACAATAGTTTTTATTAATCAGTGCTTACTAGCCAGAGAGCAAATTTTACTCAGACAAGAATCTGAGTTCAAATCCTCAGCACCTACATAAAGCTTGATGCCCTGATGCTTGCCTGTAACCCCAGCATTCCGATGGGAAGATGGGAGGCAGCGATTGGAGAATCCACTGAAGCTTGGTCCACCTAACCTAGTGTCCACAGTGGTTAGCAACAAAGTGACCATGTCTCAAATAAGGTGGAAGGTGAGAACCAAGATCTGAGGTTGTCCTGTGATCTCCACACATGCATCATGTGTGCCACCCAAGCACAAAAACATGTATATACATGTACATAAGCATACACACATCATAAACACATACATGCATACATCACACACACAGAGAAAATATACATATAAATTTGCCATTCTTTCCCTAACAGGCTCTCCCTGCAGTATTAGTGTACCCCAGAGCTTCTGGGGAGAACTGTATAACCAGAGTTTCTCATCAAACACTAAGGACCAGGGTAAAGTATTTGGGGAGTCTTTGAACCTAACACCTTGGATCGCTTGGTTTACACTTTGCTACACAATCCCTCTGTGGGCAGCTGAGGGCCACATCTGTGTTTCTCTTTGAATTCTATCTGGAAGTGGCTGGGGTCTCGGGCAGATGGGGATGGGAATGGGGGCAGGGCGTGTAGTTTGCAGGGTCTGCTGCTGAGGGGTCTTGGTGAATGGGGAGCCTTCCAGCAGGAGCCTGCCAACTGGGGCCAAGTTGGGTGGGTGTTGTATGTGTGATGTACTCCAACCGTCCTTCAGCTGGCTCTCTGGAGGGAGCAGATCAAGGTCATTTACTTGGAAAGGCGAGTAAGGAAATGGCTTTGAACTTCCTGAGAACAAAGCCGGTTTTTGCATTGACTCAACAGCCAGTTTTGTGGTCAGCCCCACCTTGGCTGTCCAGTGGACTGAAAGTCCCCTGAGAGCAAAGACCATGTTTGTTTTCTTTCTTAAGAAACGACTTTAAGGACTCAGTCACCAACTGTAAATATGATTTTGAATGAAGAACTACACCATGAAAAATCTGGTTGCATACAGGTGGACCTTATTAGTCTAGATGACTCATGCTCGTGAAAGTCCAAAGATTTTTGTCTTTTGTGATGTTGAGAAGAAAGCCAGCGTAGGCCCTGAAAGTAGGTAGAGCAAGCTACTGACTATTGCCTCACTGTGACCAAGACACCCAGAACAACTTAAAAGGAAGAATTATTTATTTTAGTTCACAATGTCCAGACCCTCAGTGACATGACAATTTACAAGTATAACATGTATTACAACAAGATACGACAAGGCAAGACCAGCCTGTTCCCTTAGAGGTGACTTGCATTCTGCCCTCATGAATGGATTGATACATTCCTGTGACTAATGGATTAAAGGGTTAGTAGGTTGAGAGAGAGCCTCTTATAAAAGCTGGTTTGACTCAGTTTCTCCTGCTTTCCCCTTCTTGGTCTTCTTTACAGATTGTATTTTGCCTCATGCCTCTGGAAGCAAGAAGGCCAACATCAGATATGGTCTTTCCACCACAGGTCAGCATGAGCCCAAATAAACCACTTTTCTTTGTAACACACCCAGACTGTGGGATTTCCTTATCAGCTGTGGAAATGGGGCCGAGACAGATTCTCTCCAGATCATGTCTTAAAACTGCATACAAACCCACAATTATCTCAATAAAATTCCAAAAAAAGACCAAAAAAAAAAAAATGACACAGAAGAGAAAATTGTGACAGCACTCATCAAAACTGTCAAGATCACTAAATTGGGGACCACCCAGATCTGATGGGACTACAGTAGTTCTGACTTATTTCTGGAATTTTCTCAGCTTTCGATGATAGAGCAGATGCTTACGATGGATTATTTTTTCTAGAGTCAAAACTGGGATTCACGAATGTGAATGATTATGAGAGATTTAAAAAAATAAAGAAAAGGAATTCATAAATTGTCAAGAAAATCTGGCATGTCTATTTTTATCAAAAATTTCCAGTATTTAGTTATCTGCTTATTATTTTTATGATTAGACCCTTTTATTTTCTGTAACTCACTTTCTTGCCAGGAATCATGTTGGAGGTGATCACAACTTCCTCTCCCTCTTGCTTTTCAGCCTTAACAGTTAAATGTCTTATGCTCGAAGTATATAGAATCCAGGTTTTTGGTTTTTTTTTTAAACCACATCTGTCTTCCCTTTTACTTTACCCCCATTAAAAGGCTACAATATAGAATGGATTGTTTACCCAAAGAGAACAGCCCAGATGCGTTCTAATTTATTTACAGGTTTTGGTTACATCGATTGAGGTAGAGATCTTCAGAGCAAGTTTCTAGTCTTTGGACCATTTCTAGCTATACTGTTTTCTTACCTGGTCATCTTTTTTTCTTTTACCTTTTTAAAAAGCCAGGACTGAGGACTGAACCTATGTCCCTGGGGTATGCTAGCCAACCACAGGGCTCCAACTCCTCCCCCTAGCTCAGAATCTTAAATATCCAGTTCTGTGTGTAATCAGATGATTCAGTTAAGATGTCTTTTGTTGCACTGAGCTTTAGATGGATCTGTTGGCACATTCCTTTCAATTGGATTGCACAAAGAAGTCAACCTTTCCATGTATTTGTGGCATAGTTTAACATTGTCAATATGCACATTTACTTTTTCTATATGTGCAGCAATATTTTAGCTATAATTTTAATCTTTAAATTTTATTGTAAATGCCTATAGGGTAAAAGTTTTAATGCACACATATGTATTATAAATTGATTAAATAAAAGCTACAATTTAAACTATATTTTTGCTTCACATTGTGCTTTAAAGATAATTTCATTTTTGTAACTCATTTATTAATTCAACTAACATTTAAAAATTATTAGTAAGTGGGTGCTTTTGTAATCAGGGTATTTTTAAGGGGGAGCCATATGATATTTAAATAAGTTTAATTATCAAATTTAAATTCCAAGGACTGGCTGTGGTGGTATATGTCATTAATTAGCCCTTGGGAGGCAGAAGCAGGCAGAGCTCTTAATCTGAGGCCAGTCTAGCTTACATAGTGAGTTCCAGGCCAGATGGGTTACACATTAATAATACAATGTAATAACTAATAGTAAGAATGTCTCAATAATCAGTACTGTTACCCTTGATTAGTGATATCAGTAAAATTGACTAAAGTCACCCAAAATTTCATCATGGAGTCATCATGATATTCACTCACCAATATATAAAAACAT